GACGAGCAGGAAATAGTGTAGACACCAGCAGCATTAGAAGCAGAAGCAGTGTGGATCAGATTACTACAAGGAGTGTTAATTTTGTTGAAAGGCAAGCTTTATGTCAAGAGGACAAAGGGGTATTAGTGAGATTTTTTAGTTCAGATATGAAGAATATGCAGAACAATGCTAATATTGTGTTGAAAACAGGTTTGGGATGAAAGACATTTTATTTAGCTTGAGAATAGGCACAGTTGATAAAATGTAAGGGGTAACCAAGGCAAGAGAAAGATTTGTGAATAATGGAAATTTCAGAATCAAGAAAATGAGGATCACTGATGTGTAGAGCGCGGAGGAAGAGAGAGACGAGAACACTTTTCTTAACAGGAGGAGGATGGTAGGAAAAGAAGTGAATGTAAATACCACTATGCATGGGTTTTTGGTACACAGAGCTGTGAACATTAACATCAAGAAAAGGAAGGAGTGAATTAGATTCCTGTTCAACTTTGAAATGGATAGAAGGAGCCAGATTGTTAAGAGAGGAGAGGAAAGGCTGAAAAAGACTAAGGTCATGAGACCATTAAGCAAAAATGTCAACATAGCGAAGCCAGAGAGAGGGACGAGTATCAATAATGAGAAGAACAGTTTCGAAGTATTCCATGTAGAGATTGGCAAGAACAGGGAAAAAGAGGGGAATCCATAGCGACACTGAAAGTATGAGAGAAGTATTTACCATTGAAAGAGAATGAGTTAGAGTCAATATGAAGTCTGATGGGTTCGAGGAAAATGTCAGTGGGAAGCGGGAGATGAAGGCCCTCAGTCGCCTTCTGACTAAGGAAAGAAAGAAAATCAAAGGGAACATTAGTAAACAGAGTCAACATGAAGACTAAGCATCTTACATAAGGGCTGCAGGCGCAGTCTTTCTATGAAGTCCTGGGAGTGATGAAGGTGGGCAGGAGAAAAAGTACCAAGGTAAGGCATCAGAGTTTTAGCAAGCCAGGAGGCAAGAGGATAGCCGACAGAGCCAAAAATGATTGGACGAAGAGGAACACCATTGTTTAAGAGTCTTGGGTAGACCATAGAAATAAGGAAGAAGGGCAGACGACATGGAAACGTGTAATTAGATTGACGTCCGGAGGACAAAGACTGAAGAGCTGTCTTAGTTTGCGGTTGAAGGAAGTATTAAGGCGATCCAAAGGGTTAGAAGTCAGAGGAGCCTATGTGCAGGAGTCAGAGAGCAAGATATCAGCTTTCTGGAAGAAGTCCACACAGTCAAGGATAACCACCGAATTGCCTTTGTCAGAAGGAAGGACAAGAATAGAGTTGTTAGCTTTCAAGGGGGAAAGGGCAAGCTGGAAGCGACGAGGAAGGTGGTGATTTTCAGAAAACAAACTATTAAGAAAGGGGATAAGGGGCCTCCCTGAAAGCAGACAGGTCTGAAAGGTTAGAATTGACAAACTTATCAAATAACCTAATGAGGTCTGAGAAGTTCTTACTGGGGCCTAGTAGGGGAAGAAGAAAGGTTGGTAACACAGAGAATATTTAGCCCAAGTACTGTTGGAAATCAGACAATGAAGTTTGTTAAGTAGTGTGGACTATATAATGGTCCAGGATGGACTGAAACGTTGTCGTCTCCTCATCTTCTGGTGTGTGGTTTGGTCATCATTTTACACCAACTGTTTGAAAGTTGAGAGGCTGGACCAAAGACCCAAAACTCAAACTCTGCAAGGACAATCAGGTGAGTACAAATACCATGTAGACCATAGTAAGCTTTAAGACTCAAGCTAAAATCCCTTTTTGTGGAGTTTAGGCCAAAGCCAGGAACTAAAACCTGAGTTAACCAATATAAAGTTCCCTTATGACTGGGCTGACAAACATCAGCCATGACAAGAATTTGCTAGATAGTTTTAACAATTATACAAGAAAAATAAATGTTAATTTTTTAAATTTATTTTACTTAGTACAGCACATGCAATTCAATCTTCATTAATAATAGAGGATTATCATATTTTTAGACTAGAAATGTAGATTTTTACACAGTAAGTATGTACTATACTAAGGTTTTCCTAATCAACTATATCAAGCACTAAAATATTAAAATTATTAATATCTAAAAAAAAAATTCAATACAGTATCTTAATAACTACATAAAATGCCGCTGTAATTTATACATCATACTGCGAGCAGTGGCATTTAACACTTTCAGCCTCCCGGCGAAGGTAAAAAAAAAAGCCGTATGTGCTCACGGCGTTTTGCCGCGCAAGCGTAAAAACAAAAATGTGTATACTCTTTTTACTCTCCTGACCTTAGTTCTCGAGCTACGTATTTCATTTTGGTACAAACGTGTTCGCAATAAAATTCTCTAGAAGAACATCAGTAAAAAAAGTCACGAAACGTATAGGGATACCAGCACCAAATAAATAACTACGAAGATGACTCGCCGTGAGCGCCCAACAGCAACAAAATGTTTTTACTCTTGGGATTGTTATCACCTCCACACTTGTCCTACAGCGTTAATTTTGGTATCAATGGACTCACAATGAAATTCCCAACACGGTGATATGACTATAAGCGTAGAATAATGATTGCGGCCCGCCCGCAAGAGTGTGGGAAGTGGTGAAATTGTTACCCGGTATCGGTGATGGGACGACGCACGGCGCTTTGAAAGTTTATACTTATTTCACTCTCATGACATTATTATTCTATGTACGTCATTCATTTTTGTGTCAACGTGTTCGCAATAGAATGTTCTATGAGCCCGTAGGTAAAAAAGATCAACAAAGCGTAAGATAGAATAGCGCCAAATATAAAACAACGCTGGAACATATCAGTGAGAGTCAAACACACACGAAATGTTTTTACTTTTGTTATGTTTGTGAACCTTTCATGAACTTATTGTACCGTGCAGCCTATTGGTGAGAGAGAGCCTCATGGCGCGCAGTTTGAAACAAACCCAAAGTAAATCGGATAAAAATTGAATTTTATACAAATATTTTAAAAGAGGACATAAATTTATGTCCACCTAGCGGGAGCGGGTAGGCGAAACAGGACGCCGGGAGGAGTCCTCATCCGCAGAAAGTGTTAACAGCCTGGTTGACCATACTGCCAATCAGGGGGGCCTGGTCAGAGGGGGGGACATACTCTCAGAATCATCTCGAAGTAAGGCACCCACCCCTCCAAGGTAAGGCATCCCCCAGGGTAAGACGTAGCGGTAAACACAGCAACAGCAGTAAACTGTAAGACCAGCACTCGCAAGTGCTGCATGATTCACGCCATGCACGTCACAAATCGGTCAGGAGGCCTTTGATACAAGATATAACACAGGTAATGAGCTTTTGACAATAATGCAACATTCTTAAATGTGGAGTACCCTATGTACTTAGGGTTCCCATTTTAAATGTCAGTACCTCACAAGGGCACAAAGTGGCTATGTGGCACCTGGTCCACACAAGGGCACAAAATCCATGCTGCACCTGGTTCTTTCCCACAGATCACGAGAGAAATTGTAACTTTAAAAAAAAGTAAATATACATTGCAAATCATCCTTTAACTCAGAATACCAAAGTAAATTTTCCAAGTCACGATAGATGAGCAAATATTACCGTATCTTCTATTCTAGTTTCACTTATTTCTTGGTCTTCCGAAGACTCTTCTGACAATCCAACAGCCTCGAGCTCGTCAACATTCTAAACACGTTTTGTTTATCATATGTGAAAGACAGATATTTATATACAAGTCACTTGAAGTAAAAGTACAGAACGGATGTAAGGAAGAATGAGCTATAGAAATGAAAGCTCTAAAAATGGCAAATAAAGCACATCTAATAAAAACTTGGGTTACAAATCACAGCAATCACTTAGATCACACACATACACATCTTGCAGCATGCTGACAAGTTTGTCATCTTTTTGTATACGTATATATATAAATCCTTCTTAGCTGCATTGTTCCTATGGTAAGATAAGCTGAACAAAATGGCTGTGCAAAACAAGGACCATAAATCTTTGAACACTTTTACACCTGAATAATTTATCAGCCCTGAGATATTCACCACAGGCTAATCAAGTATTGTATGCAAGGACAGTCTGGAGGTGCAGTCTATATTAAAGACTTTATAATATGGTAACAGTACTAATAAATTCCAGTGCAATACTTAGCCTTCAGGCTAGTTAAAAGCATCCTTCTTTCATAATACAGCCGATGTTATAGCTAATTTTGTAACTATTATATGCTGTAAGACTCGAGGGGAAGGGGCAGGAGGAAAGGCCCGAGGGGAAGGGGCAGGAGGAAAGGCCCGAGGGGAAGGGGCAGGAGGAAAGGCCCGAGGGGAAGGGGCAGGAGGAAAGGCCCGAGGGGAAGGGGCAGGAGGAAAGGCCCGAGGGGAAGGGGCAGGAGGAAAGGCCCGAGGGGAAGGGGCAGGAGGAAAGGCCCGAGGGGAAGGGGCAGGAGGAAAGGCCCGAGGGAAAGGGGCAGGAGGAAAGGCCCGAGGGGAAGGGCAGGAGGAAAGGCCCGAGGGGAAGGGGCAGGAGGAAAGGTCCGAGGGGAAGGGCAGGAGGAAAGGCCCGAGGGGAAGGGCAGGAGGAAAGGCCCGAGGGGAAGGGCAGGAGGAAAGGCCCGAGGGGAAGGGGCAGGAGGAAAGGCCCGAGGGGAAGGGCAGGAGGAAAGGCCCGAGGGGAAGAGCAGGAGGAAAGGCCTGAAGAAAAAGGGGCAAGAGGAAATGCCTGAGGGAGGGCATGAAAATAATAGTTAACCTTTCAGCCTTCAGTACCCTTAACACTGCCACAGTGTATAATGAGTCAGAGGTTCTAAAACTGGATCCAAACTCTACCAGGCGTCCACGTCTTACCAGAGGAACGTGCAGGTACTCGGGGTACTGTGTGTGATAAGTGTATCTATGGCAGACACACACACACACACACACTCCTAATTCAGCACATTTCTCAGTTCATAATAAACAAGTGCTTAAGTGTTGCATAAGAAGAGCTCAGCACAAAGTGTAAATATCATGCAGACTGGATTACCTCTTGCGAAACACTGCTATAAGCATCAATTTGCACGTGCAGCTGGAATGTATTGGCTACAAGTATTATTCAGGAAAAAGATATTGCACATGTCACAAATGTCTATACATTAATAACAATTTTGTCTAGAAATCAGGGGTAACTAAACACAAGACACCTAGACACTGACACCTTAGTTTGTCACTTAAGAGATGGTTCTAATGACACTGTTTGCCATGAGCAAGTACATAGCATTGCCAAAATAAAAGACTAAGTGTACAGGTAGAGTTAATGAAAAGTTACTTTCCAACCTGTTCAGCTGTAGTAAAGTAAATCAAGTAAAGTAAATCAAGTAAAGTAAAATCCTATTGTGTCCTTGCAGAGGCGTGTGTCCAGTTTGGCAGGCAGGCAAAAATGTTCATTGCATGGTCATAAAAGATGCTAGGTAGCGCAAGAGAACAAATTCAATCCCGCTATGAATGGCTGACAAGATGTCAAATGATACAGATTCAAAGCCTTTCAAAAGCTCCCTTTAGGATTACAAGTGATTGCCAAGAAGCAACTAACAACTTTTAATTTTTAAAAATTATCCCCCTTTTCTTCTAATTTAACTTTCCCATATACCAGACAACAATGGGCTTTTACGTACTCCACATCAAGACAAAGAGGCAAAAAGGGGCTTCTAGATATGCAGGCAATGATTTGCAGTTCAGAGAACTCATAGGTGCCCAAGGTGCAGTCTCCTAGTGGCACTTGGTTGGATTAGGCCAGATGGATTAACTAGCAGTTAGCGAGAGCCTCTCCTAGCCGCCATTTGTATTCCTGGTGCGCATTCAGAGGAACAAATGATTTGATTTGATCCGAGCTGTCGACCATTTGATGCCAAAACAAACTGTTCTTCAATGCTACCTAGCCCCTTTTATGCTCTTGCAGTGATGCCAATGCCAAGGTGCTGCCTTGTAGTCAATATAAGTAACTGTTATACATACAGTATCTACAATATTACTACATGAATATACTACACAATAAAATAATGTATCCAAATCTAAGTTTCTGCATGCCACTTCCCACAATCAAGCAAATAATGCATATAATCTTCAGACATCATGTTTGTCACTGGCAATTATAAGGCAACAAAACCACCTGAAGGGTAGGGAAATTATATGTATTCACCTAGTTGTATTCACCTAATTGTGCTTACGGGGGTTCAGCTCTGCTCTTTTGGCCCACCTCTCAACTGTCAATCAACTATTACTAACTACTACTACTATTTTTTTTCCCCACACCACACACACACACACACCAGGAACAGCCCGTGACAGCTGACTAACTCCCAGGTACCTATTTACTGCTAGGTAACAGGGGCATAGGGTAAAAGAAACTCTGCCCATAGTTTCTCGCCGGCTCCCAGGATCGGATCCGGGATCACAGGACCACGCGTCCAGCGTGCTATCTGCTCAACCGCCGGCCCCAAATGTCTTAGTAGTTGTGTGGCAAGGTGGATGTGAGCCACCGTGTATTAAAACTGAGTACTCAGCAGGGTAAGGTTTAGCACAGGTCATGGAAGCAAAAGGGCAGAATGACTGGATCCCATTCATTCATTCCATTTCATCCAGTGTACCTAGATTTAATTGTTGACTTTGATAATATATATAACAAAAAATTGGCAGATCATATTTTGAGGAAAATAAGAACAATTACCTAATTAGCTTCAGTACTTAGGCCAGGTACAAGTCCCTTAAGAAAGTGAAGGGTGTGACGATGTTGATTTACAGAATTGCAATATCAGATATACTAGTACTGTCTACTGGTCAACTGGTAGACTTTCATTCATTCATCCATATAACACTTTTGGACAGAAGACCAAAGCACCCTCGTAAAAATAAGGCAAATAATAAAAGTGAAAGAAGGAATGGAGAAAAACTAGCGTTTAATGCAATGAAACGCCATTTTCTAGGCAAGTCTCGGAGGCTTCTTGGAGCTATCAGGCTGATATGTGTTATATTAGTCTGGGGGAATCAGTCAATTGGAGTTCAGCCTACCGGGGACCACTAGCCAGAACCTGACCCCCTCAGAGAGGCAAAGGGAGCAATGGCCTATGGAAACCACCATGTGATTGGGGGCATTACATGTCTGCCATCGACCGGGATTGGCACCCAGAAAGGTAGGCGTAACGAAACAGACCCCACTTGGTAAGAAAATTGCAACTGAAGACCGAACAGAGAGGCAGAACTCTCCCTACTTAAAGAAACAAGCAAACGTCACACTCCACTGCCGTGCGATTGTCCGTGCAGCCCTCGCAGCCCATGCAGGGGGGGGGGGGGGTAGCCCTGGACCCCCCCTCTCCGCCCCCGTGCTGACTACTCAACTCCAGTTTGGAGGCTGAGCGTCAAAACCTGCACGAAAAACTGCCTAGCGGAGGGAGGGAGGATGCCAGGAAGCCTCCGGGGCTCTCCCAGAAAATGGCGTTTCATTACATTCAATGCTGGTTTTCTGTGGGAGTCCCTCCAGCTCAAGGGGCCAAGGGGCCAACAGGACTATTCTTCCCTGGCTTTTACCCTACCCGGGTAAGACATGTGAACACGCGAAGTGCCAGATTCAAGCCAAAGGGAAGGCAACGAAGTAGGTAAGCCTGATGAAGGAGGTAAGCCACAATGAAACCTAATCAGTCCCTGAACCCCGGATGAGTGGGAACGTGCCAATACACATCCTCGAGGTACAGGGACACCATCCAAGCCCCCCCCCCCCCGGCTCTAACATAAGCCAGACCCGAGACAGAGCAGTCATCCGAAAGGAGGGGGGGCAAGGAATCCATGGGTTCAGACGGGACAAGTCCAGAATGAACCACAGATCCTCACAGTCCCATTTCGGCACTGGAAACGGGCGGGGAAACCCACCCGAGGGACGGGTTCGTTTCGACCATGCCTAAGCGCACACACTCCAAGATGACCCGATGGAGTGCAGGGGAAGAAGCCTGCCCCACTAGCCCCGAACAGCCCAAAGGAGGAGAAGCCGTTCAACGCCACCACAGGCCGGAGGATACAACCCGAAACGCCCACAAATCATAGGACCAAGAGTGAGCAAACAGTACAAGCCTTCCTCCCATCGTCCCTTCAATGGGGCAAACTGCAAAAAGGCCGACGCCCCTTACAAGAAACCGGCCAACAAACAGAGCAATCACTGTGCCGACCAGACGACACCGGCTCAGAAGCTGGCACCAATGACCCACCCCGATGGGAGGAACCCTGAGCCCTGGTACGACCCTTCCAAGAAGGCAGAGAACAGCCATCCCGGAGAACCAACAAGTACGATATTGGACGATAACTAGACGAAGCCACCTGCAGAAACTGCGTGACAGCAGTTTCTGCAAATAGCAACGGACAAAACAGCTTCGAAAACCCAAGAGCCAGGTGTCAAGTGGATTCCGAAGAGAGAGAGCAAGCACAGCCTGCCGGCACGCAAGGCAAGAAACAAGAACAGAGACACTGTCTCCTTGAGAATTGCTGCAAACAGCTTAAACAGCGTGGCCGACGCCCTAGCCGCCGAGGCCAGAGCACCAGAAGAAGGCCCGGAACTCAACACCTCCACATCCTCCTCAAGTCAGTCCGAGGACAGCTCGAGAATAGAAAAGAAGCCCAAGACTGAAGCCAAATGCCAATGGGCATGCAAATCCTCAGCAACCAAAGACACGAAAAGGGTAGGAACCTGCACGTGCAGCTGCACAAGGCCAACATCCCGAGGAAGCACAAGGGCAAACAAGCACGCATTAAGGCGCTCAAACTTGCCCTCAAGGTAAACCTGCAAAACGGTAGAAGTTTCTCGCCATTCAAGTATGCGGGTCTGACTGCCGAAAAGAATGGGCAGTCTGCTAGCCAGGAAGACTCCGGAACCTCCAAATGCACCCAATACCAGGAAGAACCGAACTCAATTGAGGATGGATCCATCACATAGGCAGAATCTGGATCTCACAAGAGGTATGCAGCAAGTGCCTCCCATACTTCCCTAGGTGAGATACGAGAGGCAGAAAACTTCCAGAAAGAAGGAGCCAGGGAACCCGGAACCGAACCCGGGAAAGAGCCGTCCCCAATCATACTCATATAAAGCAGGGGGCTATGAAAACCCCTTCCCCCCCCCCTGCAACAACAAGCCCCGTGAAGAGGGCACCAAAACCCAAGCAGGGTCAAAGGGAGGCCCAAGCCCCCAGGTCAACTCCTCACCAGCCCTGGGATCCATCAAACCAGGAACTGGGTAGAGCAGTCCTCCATAACCTCTACCCCTGAAGAAAAGGCAGAGTCCATGGGAAAGGCAGAAACGAAGGGGAGGGGGGGGGGGGCCCTTCTGATGTACCCAGAAGCCTTTGCAGGAGGAACCGGCTTGAATGCCTCCGTCCCCAACCCAAATGGGGCAGACCCCGAAGCTGCCCAGAGTCTCATTACCAACTAAACCCTGCTTCGACTCCAAAACCCTCAGATGTTTGGGAACCAGGAGCAGGGGTGGAGAGGAGAGGGAGAGGAGGAGAGCAGGATGAACAACAGGGGAAGGACCAGGGAGCACGGACGGAACCAAAGTTAAGGCAACTAATCCCCCCATGTCCGGATCCCTATACTGTAACTAAAATGGGGCAGCCTCGGGGCATCCTCGTGAGCAACCAGCATAGGGCATTGCAGCAACCTAAACTTAGCATGCAACGCGGATGCCACCTGTATCCGAATATCAATGTCATCAGAATGGATAGATTGGAGAACAAGCCTTGGACCACATCAGCCAACGAACTAGAGATGTTGAGTAGCTGGCACGGGGGGTCGGGGCTTCCCCCTCCTGGGGAGGAGAGGGCTGCGCGGACAAGCGGCGTGTCGGCGTAGTGTGACATTTGCTTGTTTCTTTAAGTAGGGGGAGTTCTGCCTCTCTGTTCGGTCTTTGATTGCAATTTTCTTACTATGTGACGTCTGTTTTGTTATGCCTACCTTTCCAGGTGCTAACCCCGGTCGACAGCAGACATGGAATACCTCCAAATACATGAGGGTTTCCATAAGCTCCCTTTGCCTCTCTGAGGGGGGGCCAGGTTATGTTCGTGGTCCCCAGTGGGCTGAACTCCAATTGACTGATGCCTGATAGCTGGCTCGACGGGTTCCCCACAGAAAATGGGTTATTGTTGTCTTTAGTGAGAGTAAATTAAAGGAAGATGGGTTCTTAGCATAACCCGCACTCCAATAATACAGAATATTGCAGGAGATACGAGGTGGAGTCTGCACAGCTGTGGGCATTAGATTCACCACATTCCTACACTGAAGTAAGTACTGTAATTCCTTTTCAATATTCATTTACCTGTACTGCCAACTCATTCAGAAAAGAACAAAATCATTCAAACCATGGAAAAAAGTTAAGGGGGGATGAATCTTTTAGGTTATCATGTTTATTTAATAATCAAAAACTCAGAGACATGAACGATGGGTGAATGATATTTAATTTATGCTATATAGTAATTAAAAAGGTACCAAAGACTTTAACATTCTGAGTGTACAAAGTATCAAAAATTATTAACTTATTCAGAAAAGAATATTTTCATACTTGAGTAACCTGAGTGGGAAAGCATTTAGGTTTAAGGGTACTGCTATTGATATGGTCAATCCAGTGTTTTTGGGTGTAGTATACAGTATTAGATATGCACACAGGTACATTATACGAAAGGTTGTCACAGCTTTACTTAAGAGTACACTCGGTAAACTTAGCAACTGTTGAGGTCTGCATTCTGAGGAAGGTTGGTAGTTAGCCTAAGGGGGGGACCTCGATAAGCCAAAGTGCAGGCTTTCTGTCCCTGGCCATGGGAAAAACTGCATGACTCCTACCCAGTAAAATATTCAACACTTTGTATTACCCAGTATTTTCTTCCATAATTCTAATTTCCATCTCATTGTTCCTATTTCTGTTCTTCTTGTGTACACTTGATAAATACAGATACAATTTCAATACTTTCATAACCAAAGGCAGATGCTCCAGGCCTACTCTGCACACATATCAAGTGAGTAAATATTTAGATCGTATGTCGGGATCGAACCCACAAACCTGATCCCGACCCCCAGTCACATGCAGGTATGCAGCGTTGATCCCATCATATGGTCTTGATATTTTCTCATAGATACATCACATTAGACATCCAACCCATAAATTTGAAAAATAAGTTGACACTGTTTTGCACAGTCTGGACCATTATCAAGTTTGGTAATGATAATGGTCCAAGGATGGACCAAAATGTTGTAAAGTTCTTTATTTGTATATAGGTGTTGGGTGTCTAATTTTCAGCCACATTATTGTGACTTACTGTTGGCAATGCATCATGTTCTTGCAATTTAATGCTGTACATCTCAAATGATGCTGTTAAATGGCAATTACATATAACTTAAATACTCTGGCATGCTCTTGCATCCATCATTATAGTTTGAAGGTGGGAAAGGGCAGCATTTCTATCTATTAACCCATTGATATGGGTTAATAGATTGACAAATATTATACAGTCGAGTTATTCAAAGAGTCATCTATCTACAAATTAGTGTTATTAGAACATGCTGTGATACAACAGTTGAGAACTGAACATTCTTACTCTGCGGTATAGAAGCGAGTGGATCGATGTCCGACACGGGAAAATCATTAATGGGAAGCTTATAGCCAAGGACACTGTGAAGAACACCTTAATCCCTTCTGTCATCTGAGAGTTCGGGAAGCTGAGGATGACGTTGCCTGCCAAGTTAAAATAATCTTTAATCCTTTAAGGTCTCCAATTACAATTACCTCTTGTGCTGGAATTGCCAAATGCTATTTTTTTTTTTTTAAGTTTTGTGAACTACATATTGTTTGTCATGAGCACCACAATTTACAACTTTTAATAAGCCAAGCCATTTTCAGGTTAAGTTATACATAATTTAGTCTGATAATAAAGTTATTCAAAATGATAGACAAAAATACAAAATTCTGCAGAAATACATGTCACATACATAAATACTGTATATAACAAAAGAATACAAAGAACAAACCAGCCAAATCTTGATCAACAAAGGCCACATATCCCAAGAAGCCAACAGATATGTAGAGAGCACAGCAGAGATTGACAGCATGATTAACCACTGATCTCATCTTGGGAACGTCAGGATCTGGTATGGAGTCATAAATCTCAAACACATTACTGAAAGAGAAACCATAAACTAAGAACAATGTACCAACATAGAGAAGAAATATTAAGTAGCTACTGTATATCTAGATTATGAAATGGCTGGACTAAATAAATAAATAAATTCTCAAGCTGGAAGAACTGCACAGTACAGTATGTTCTAGATCACCTCAAGCACATGCATTATTAGCTATACCATAGTTATTACCTAAGTGTAATTACCTAAGTGTAGTTACAGGATGAGAGCTACGCTCGTGGTGTCCCGCCTTCCCAGCACTCTTTGTCATACAACACTTTGAAATTACTGACGGTTTTGGCCTCCACCACCTTCTCACTTAACTTGTTCCAACCGTCTACCACTCTCATTGCGAAAGTGAATTTTCTTATATTTCTTCGGCATCTTTGTTTAGCTGGTTTAAATCTATGACCACTGGTTCTTGAAGTTCCAGGTCTCAGGAATTCTTCCCTATCAATTTTATCGAGTCCTGTTACTATTTTGTATGTAGTGATCATATCTCCTCTTTTTATTCTATCTTCTAGTTTTTGCATATTTAATGCCTCTAACCTCTCCTCGTAGCTCTTGTCCTTAAGTTCTGGGAGCCACTTAGTGCCATGTCTTTGCACCTTTTCCAGTTTGTTGATGTGCTTCTTAAGATATGGGCACCATACAACCACTGCATATTACAGCTTTGGTCTAATAAAAGTCGTGAACAATTTCTTTAGTATTTCGCCATCCATATATTTAAAAGCAATTCTGAGGTTAGAAAGTGTAGCATAGGCTCCTCGCACAATGTTCTTAATGTGGTCCTCAGGTGACAGTTTTCTATCTAGAATCACCCTTAGAGCCCTTTCTTTGTCAGAATTCTTTAAAGATTTCTCACATAATTTATAGGTTGTGTGGGGTCTATGTTCTCCACTTCATTCCATAACATGTCATTAATTCACATTAAATTCCATTTGCCAAGTATTGCTCCATATACTTATTTTGTCCAGGTCTTCTTGAAGGGCATGACAATCATCTAGGTTTTTTATCTTCCCTATTATCTTAGCATCATCAGCAAACATGTTCATGTAATTCTGTATTCCCACTGGTAGATCGTTTATGTAGACAATGAACATTACCGGTGCAAGAACTGAACCCTGTGGTACTCCACTTGTGACATTCCTCCAATCCGATACCTTGCCTCTGATTACGACCCTCATTTTTCTGTCAGTTAGGAAATTTTTTATCCATGTTAGAAGCTTAAGTACCTGTCACCCCTCCAATATGTTCCAGTTTCCAGAACAACCTCTTATGGGAAACTCTGTCAAAAGCCTTTCTTAGGTCCAGATAGATGCAGTTAACCCAACCATCTCTTTCCTGTAATATCTCTGTTGCTCGATCATAAAAACTGAGTAAGTTTGTTACACAGGATCTTCCAGATCGAAAACCGTACTGTCCGTCTGATATTATATCGCTTTCCTCCAGGTGTTCTACCCATTTAGTTTTAATTATTTTTTCCAATATTTTGACTATTACACTTGTCAATGATACAGGTCTATAATTAAGGGGGGTCTTCCCTGCTTCCACTTTTGTAGATTGCAACTATGTTAGCCTTTTTCCACACATCAGCTACAACTCCTGTACACAGGGATGCCTGAAAAATCAGTTGAAGTGGAATGCTGAGCTCAGGTGCACATTCTCTCAGAACCGATGGTGAAATTCCATCTGGACCAACTGCTTTGTTCTTTCTTAGCTCCTTGAGCATTTTTTTCCACTTCGTCTCTAGACACCTCTATGTGCTCTATGTTGTTCTCTGGAATTCTTATTGTGTCTGGTTCCCTAAAGATTTCATTTTGTACAAACACACTTTGGAACTTTTCGTTTAGTGTTTCACACATTTCCTTTTCATTTTCCGTGAATCTATTTCCCATTTTCAACCTCTGAATATTATCCTTTACCTGCAATTTGTTGTTTATGAATTTATAGAATAGACCTGGTTCTGTATTACATTTGTCTGCAATCCCTTTTTCAAAATTTCTTTCTGCCTCTCTCCTCACTGCCGTGTAGTTGTTTCTCACATCTTTGTATCGTTGGTATGTTTGGGGGTTTGGCCTCTTCCTGTATTGATTCCATTTTTGTGTCTTTTGGTCTCTGGCCCTCTCGCAATTTCTATTGAACCAATCCTGTTTCCTAGTTCTACATCTCATTCACTTCCTTGCCTAGCAACAAGTCTGTCCAATTATACTCACTAAAAAAAATTCTAAGGTCGCCATAATGTCCTCTCCTGAAGTCAGGTTTTTCAACTGCTTCAACCTCCTTATTTTCTTCCAGATTATAACGCATTGCATACTTTATTCCCAAAAAGACATGGTCACTTTTACCTAAGGGAGGAAGGTACTGAATGTCAAATATCTCTTCCTCCTTCCTGGTAAATATCAAATCTAGCATGGAGGGAACGTCCCCCTTCCCTCATCCTCGTAGCTTGTTTAACATGTTGATACAAGAATGTTTCCAGGATGAGGTCTACAAATCTACAGGTTCAAAAATCTTCTGTTTTAGCTTCATATGCTTCCCAGTCTATGGATTTCAAGTTGAAGTCACCGACTATCAACAGTCGTGATCTATCGTTATCCGCTCTCGCTATAATCTCTCTCATTATTGTTATAAGACCTTCTCGTTTACTATCTAACTCCTCCTTTGACCATGTGCTGCTTGGCGGTGGACTATATGTATTTATGATCATTAGTTTATCATCCTCATGGCAGATCTCTAGTGCTATTATGTCAACTTCTTGTGGATTGGCAGTCACTATTTCCTTCACCTTTAGGTGTTCTTTCACCAGCACAGCAACGCCACCGCCTTTCCTAATTTTTCTGTCCCGTCTCCAAATTGAGTAGCCCCTTGGGAATATGACCTCATTTAAAATAACATCTTCAAGTTTTGTCTCTGTGAGTGCAACAATGTCTGGTGTCTGCAGCTGTATTACATCACTTAACTCCAGTATCTTCGATCTCACTCCATATATGTTGGTGAATGCAATCTTCAGGAACTTGTTCCCCCACTCCTTATTCTTCACTCCCCCCTCTCTCTATTTTGTTGGTTTGCTTTTATGTACCACTTTACTAGTCTGCCTACCCCTAACACTTTGTAGAAAAGAGAATTGATTTATTCTTCATTCCTGCTCTTATTTAAACGTTTTGCCTCGGCGAGGTTCAGTTTCAGCTTCTCTCTGTCTTCTTTTGAAAGATCTCGTCTTAACGACCACACTTTTCCATCCTCATCACTTTGTAATTTTCTAGAATTCCTTAGTATCTCTTCCATCTGTTTGGCACCGTTTAGGGTGATCCTCAAAGGTCGATCTTTCCCTTTTACGTATCTGCCTATTCTCCTGTAGCCGCACACATTCTCTTTGGTAGTAAGACCTTCCACGAGGCCAACAATTTTATCTACTACTTTCGCTTCTTCTACAGCTCTTTCTGACTTAGATGTTATCTCCTTTTCTTTGCAGCCAAAAATTATCAGGGACTTACTCCGATCAACTGAGTTTTGCACCAACTTTGGATTAGATGCCAATTCCTTTCTCACTTCCAGCCTAATGTTTCTTTTATCTTGGTTGCTGCAGTGTTTGACTTCCTTTACTGCTTCTTCAATTTTTTCCTTCTCCTTTGCCACTTGTCCATAGGTGAGTTGCATTTCTTTCTTGCACTGTTCTATTCCCTGTGTAACTTCCTCCATCTGTGCTGACAAAAGCCGTTTCTCCTGTTGAATTTCCTTACCTAACCTATTGTAGTCATTTATGTTTAAATTTACTTTAACTTCTTCCAAAGCTATTTTTAAGAGTTTATTTTCTTCTTCCATGGCTTTGCAATTTGTTTCCAATTGATTCTTATCCTTGTGCAAGTCTCTCACTAAACCCTCAAGACATACAACTTTGCTGTTCAAATGGTCATTACTTTCTTTCAATTTACTAATTATTTCTACGTGAGAGTTCACTATAGTATCTAATTTTACCAACTTGTTGTGTAGACTGCTTATATCAATGCTTTCTTCATTGAATCCCTCAAAATCAAGCTCTGTTTTGTTTTTCCTCTTGCCAGTGGCCATCTTGAATGTTCTCTGCACTGGAAACACTAGGGCAACTTTTTCTCATCTGATTTTTCACTTCCCTTGGCACATTCCTGTTATCTCACCTATTTTTCAAAAGCATTATACCTTTATGTTCTCTGGGACACCACTCACTATCATCAACCTGTACTACAATACTTAGGATTGTTGAAATATGCTGGAGCTCCTCTGATGCAAGTGTTGACCCTCGAGGTGTCACCTTTTGAATGGTGACACCCCTAGTGTGTGTGTGTTATTTATAGAATAATAATTTTCTTGTGATTTTCATTGCGTGTGTTGTTCTAGTTTGAAGTGTGTCCCGATCAATGCTACCAAGACTGCTAATTCTTGGATCATTCCAGCTTCCATAGGGATATAAAAAGGTGCAGCCTGGAGAAAATAAGGAAGCACTAGTACAGTACACCAAAAGTAACTAGAGATATTAAAAAATCAGGTCCAGTCACCACAACTCCTACACATGGCACCACTACACTTTAGCAACTCATTAATGTTAACACTCCATCACGTTCCAAGATAAACTGTACAGTGCTCATTGTGAGATTCATTCATTCCCTCTAAAAAAACGGCTCCTGCCTAACCTTATTCTGTCCCTCTTCACACGCATAATTTGCACTCAATCCCCACTTCCTCACAACCACACCTGCACATAATTTGTCCATCCTTGTCACCTATCTTTAAATTAAGAGTTGTACCGATGTACAGCTATCAGAGCAGAATTCTAACATTGATGATAGATATCAAGTTTCAGTATCGGCCTATTGGTGACGGTCAAAATACTGGTACAGTATTGGTACATGTCTATATTAAACTCACTTAACCGTTAGACTGCTCACCAATTTAAAAGTACTACATTGTAATTGCTTGACCAAAAAATCAATAGGAAAAATTGCATATGGCAATTTGTGAACAGGAAGTCATCACAAATAGCAACTGTAGCAGTGTAAGGGTTAAATACACTTTAGACTATCTTCATTCATTTAACATGACTAAACCATCTTCGTATATTTTCCTCAATCATTCATTTATCATTTTTTGCACTTCACATCTTTCCATGACATTTTTCATCCTAAACTCTCATCTTTTCTCTTATCACACAATATGCTTCACAAACTGTCCATTTCCACTGCTTTAACAAGCTATGAAAAGTGTCTGAATGTAAAGGTGGCTCAAGTAACAAGGGAGCAAGGGCTCAAATTCCAATACTTGGCAATGTTAATCAGAAGGAAATGGATCAGGTAACAAAGTACCCACCAGAGGGGTGATGAAATGTTGAAAATTAAACTGGTTGACATGGTAGAAAATTCTTAAGGAAACATGACAGCTGACAAACAGAAGAGAACACAACCTCCACACATTTCTTCCACAGCTTTATTAGTTGCCCCCAAATACATACCCATTTTTGCTAATCGCACTCTCAGTTATTTACTCTATCATCATTTAATATCTTACCAATTGATACACAAAGAAATGACACTAATATGATATATATCAAAGAGAAAATCAATTGGAGCAATGAGGTAACTTGAACCAGCAATCAGGGTACTCCCAGCCGTGCACCTTACCCCTGTACCACAACACAATACAAGTTATACAACCTGGGATTCCATTGAATCCACAGGAGGTTTGGAGGAATCTTCTGAAGCCAGTCCAACTTATACATATAACCCTCATGAAGCCTCCAGATTTACTATGGATTCAGTGGAATCCCAGGTTGTATAACTTGAACCATATCATGGTACAGGGGTAAGGTGCTCGGCTCAGAGTACCTTGATCACTATTTCAAGTCACCTCATTGCTCCAATTGATTTTCTCATTTTACCAACTCTTAATTGAAATGTTACTTCCCTTCCACTGTCTCCAACATGCTTACATTCAGACACGTGCTGTACACCATCCAGAACACCCGCCTTCCACATGCCTGCATAGTGATCCGGCTCAACAAACATTCCTCTTACGACCCTTCACATTTTTTCACATTACACTCAATTTTACAGCATCAATTAACATACATGTAATCAAACTCATTTGCTCCATTCCATTCCCTTCCCTTCACCTCCATATGTTGGCCTGATAGCCGAGTGGACAGTGCTCAGGACTCTTAGTCCTGAGGTTCCAGGCTTGATTCCCGGTGGAGGCGGAAACAAATGGACAGAGTATCTTTCACCCTGATGCCCATGTTACCTAACAGTAAATAGGTACCTGGGAGTTAGACAGCTGCTACGGGCTGCTTCCTGGGTGTAACAAAAAGGAAGCCTGGTCGAGGACCAGGCCGCGATATACGCTAAGCCCCAAAATTATCTCAAGATGAGTTTAAGATAACCACATGTATGAGGCTACCCACCAAACACACATCAAAACTACGACGTTGGTACAACGTTCGAACAAGTTTTAACCCTTCCTAACCAGTTATAACAACCAATATAGCAAGTTGTAACAACGTTCTAATACGTCATAAACACGTTAAGCCAAGATGTAATAACTTTATTACAAGTTGTAACAAGCGGAAAATAGAGACAGTTTCGGTTTGTGTTTCCAGGGTATGCTCCACTTCCATGAATACCCATGTTCAAGCATATGATGAAAGTATATGCCATATAACCAACCAGCCCATCTCTAGACAAACATCCACGAATTAAGTTTACACTACAACTGTAAACAATGAATTTCATACCAGTAATCAGATTTCTAATACAGATCAAACAGTTTAGTAATGCAAGTCCGGTGGTTTTTTACTCTATATTTTTTAAATAAAATATAAAAGTGCATTAAGCACAATGCAATAAATTTGTTTGTGAAAACCACTTGTATAAAGCAGTTCTATTCCTCCACACTATGGAACCAAAATATAACTGAATCCTCAAGGATAAAGTATATCCTTGATAGAGTATATACTCTATTAATCATCAGAGTATAATGATCATAGCACAAAGAAGGCCAATACTGTACTTTTAAATAAAGACTATAAATGTAACTAGTACAATGAATAACAATAACTCTAGTTAAGAAACAAGTACATATAATACCAGACTTCATTTTCAGAGCCACTCCTAAAAAGATAAAACACTGAACAGCACTGCACTACTGGTTAGCATTGTGAAAGCCCTTAAATCATCTTTAACTGGTTGACCTTTCGCAGTGTTCAAAAGGGAACTCGACAAGCACCTACAAAGGATACCTGATCTACCAGGCTGTGACTCTTATGTCAGGCTGCGAGCAGCCACATCGAACAGCCTGACTGATCAAACCAGCAACCAGAAGGCTTGGTCAGAGACTGGGCTGCGGGTACCCTGATCCCCGAAATCGTCAACATGTAGTCAGGAAGTCATCTTCTGTAGTCGAGTGCTCAAAACCAATATATTACGGTACGTAGAAATGCTACCTATTTGTAAGAAAGAAGAGAATGTATGTATGTATATTGGTTAGTATTGTATAAGCACTTCAATCATCTTCTGTTGCCAAGTGCTTAATTAACATCTCGCTACACTACATGTAGTCCAACAGCTCTCTAACCCAGTCTATGGAGGACAGAAGAAAATATATATACCATACATATTAGTTAGCATTGTGCATACATATTTGTAAGCATGTGTATTAGTTAGCATTCCATGGCTATGTCTGTGGTAGAAAAACTATGGGTTTGCAAAAACACCTGCACTACTAACCTTTGACAAGACAGACCAAGCATGCAGATGGGAAGAACATGGAGAGCCCCCGATGGTCGAAACAGTTCAGCCATGTGGTACCACGACCCATCCATCAATTTAGAAAAGGCATGATACAAGATCTGAAATTTTATGTATAATAAATATTCACACTGTATAGATTGAAAATACAATGAAATAAACTTAATCTTCCCTCAAACAATTCCTTACACAGCATTACTAACATCTTAATAGGCAATGTTCTTATAAAAAAATTTATCGTGCAAGATTGTCCCAGCCGTGCTGTGTACTCACCTAGTTGTACTCATCTAGTTGGGGTTGAGCTTTGGCTCTTTGGTCCCGCCTCTCAACCGTCAATCAACTGATGTACAGATTCCTGAGCCTACTGGGCTCTGTCATATCTACATTTGAAACGGTGTATAGAGTCAGCCTCCACCACATCACTTCCTAGTACATTCCATTTATTAACTACTCTGACACTGTAAAAGTTCTTTCTAATGTCTCTGTGGCTCATTTGGGTACTCAGCTTCCACCTGTGTCCCCTTGTGCATGTACCACCCATGTTAAATAATCCATCCTTGTCCACCCTGTCAATTTCCCTGAGAATTTCGAGAGAGAGCATTAAGAGAACAACAGCAGCCAGCACAGCAGAGGAGATGGCCTAGCAGGGAGGCTGTTGGCCGGCCGGGGCGGGACAGTCTCTGTCAAGCTACAGACCCCCCCCCCTCTATCCAGCTATAGGCAGACACTTGGTGAGTTGAACATTAAGGTGACTTGGTCGTGTTTTACAAGTGTTGTGTGATGATCAGGGGCAGTCAGTTGTAGTGTTCTCAGATTCTTGGAGGATGACTCACTTTACATATATATATATATCTTGAACATTGCTTAAATTATGATACTTAGTATGTGAAATATAATTGAAATTATTCGTTAAATGGGCTTTCACTGTGTCCCCTAGAGCCTTGAGTTGAGGTGAGAAAGCCTCTGTGATTACTGGTTTCATGATTTAATGAGTACATGATAAAGATGGGACATACTAATAATGACCTTGATAATATCTTTTGTGAATATTGTGATACAGACAAGTTCCATTCCTTGTCTTGTAGGTAATGGTCTAGAATGGATGGTGGCAGCAATTTCGTCTTCTACTATCTGCTCTTCTACTTCTACTATCTGCTCTTCTACTTCTACTATCTACTCTTCTACTTCTACCTATCTATTCCTCTCCCTCCATTCCTTCTCTAAACTCTCACTTTCAACTAATGACCCTCCTCGCTCCTCCCACCTCTCTACCTCTCACCCCAAACCCTCACTAATTACTTCACTATTCATTTCTTTCCTTTCGTTTTCTCTTATACGGTTGTGGCAATGATTATATATTCTAGAGGTGCTCTAGAATAGTTAGCTAACTGAGGACGGAATAACGGACTAGAGAGAGCCGTTTCCCCCGGCCTTGTTAGTTAACTGGGGGTTGGAATAATGGACAAGATAGAGCTATTTCCCCCACCCCCCCATTACAACTCTGTATAAAACAAGCAACTCTATTTTTTATTTTTATTTACCAAAGAACAACTTTTCAGCAAGTAACAAAAACGAAACAAAAAACTTACAACAAGGATGAGCAAGAAGTAGAACCCAATTGAACAGGCTGACATGGATGCTAGGCTGTCCAGGTTACGCAGTAAACACAACGGTAACACCACCAGTAATGATATTCCTGAAAAACAATAATTATCATTACACTGCAGGACTTGGCCCTGCAGTGGGATCTTAATGTAGGCAATAGTGCTGTTATTCAACAGGATAATATTCTCACAAATATCAAACGTTTTAGTGACGCTATTTAGTCAGAGCTCACCAATGAGAAGAGTGCAGCGAAGCGACGGCGAATTTTCTATATCCATTAATCTGGCAACAATGGCTGGTGCCAAGTCACCCATCACAACATGGAAGGATATGCAGATCCCAATGAGGAAGAGAATCATGCACAGCTCTACAAACAACTTTCCACTCACTCCAAACACGTGGAATGCTGCAATGTAAGTATCTATTAGTTTTCATTCATTAACCATCTTGTAGTCACATTGACACAGCTCATAATTCTTGTTAAAAATATACTTTTCCGCATCTCGTTCTCAGGAACAAATAGCCTATTGAGCTTATTATCTAACCCATCTTTTTTATAGCATATCGCATTCTGATGTACACTGTACAGTACTTTGCTGAAGGCCAAAAAACAGTCATACAAGAAAATGGTAGGTGGTTCGCAAAATTGACAATGTCCTTTTTCTGTTTGTGAGTCCTCTGGTAGGTTAGGATAGAGCACTTTAGTACGACAGTTTTGTGATGTTGGGAACGGTTGCAAGAACAGGTTACATTATCAAGGTTGAGTCTAGGGCGAGTCTAGGCCAACAACTGACCTCCACGATGGAACCCACAACAGTTACCTAATCGGGAGACATCTCCCGTCACGCAGGGTGCAGTCGCACCTCCACTGATCTCCAGTATCATCTATTGATACTGGTAATGGCTCAAAAGGGCCACCACTTACGGGCTATTCATGCCCGTGCCACCTTTTGGGTGGCTTAATCTTCATCAATCAATCAAGTTACCTAACTCCTGGGCACCTATTTACTCTAACACCTGTACTGTACTGGTCTCACAATGCTTGCTTGTCCAGAACAAATACAAGCACCTCACCTACTAAAATCTAAACACTGCCACCATCCACGTATTTAATTAGGTGCAAATTAATTAAATTTCCAGGTCTTCCCACCAGGTTGGGAAGACTAGCAAGAGAGACCAGGAGAAAGGAAAGGCATCAAATGCTTGGGAGTCAAGCACAGAACTTTTGGTTTGTGAACTAACTGCACTGACCACTACACAACACAATTAACATTTCATCATTAAGCCGTAAGGCAAATCATTCTCCAGAGATGATGGCCATTTCACCTCGACCCCATGATCAACCTTCTCTCTCTCTACTTGCCACTCTGTAAAAACTGCAACTGTTTTGCTTCACCAGAAGCATACAAACCTAGGCAACCAACTTATGAGGCCGATGTACAGAAAATGTCACCATTACAGTACCTTCATTTTTACCAATACCTGTACAGTATGTTACAATTTAAAATAATTCATAGATATTAGTACAAACACGGCATATTATGAAAGAGGATGGGATGATAAGACCAGCTCTAAGCCTGACACATCAAGTGAATCACACCAACTCTGCCTATCAAGGAACTGAACTAAAGTCTCTATGTCTATTACTGTGACCTATTTCAATACCAGAATGTTTCCTAGATAAAGTTCTTCCATGGAATAGAAATAAAAATAAAGGGAGATCTATGTCCAGGAAATTAAACAAATTGATCAGTGATTAATAAGGTGGATCTCATGGTGGAAGAGGATATGTTGATCAGATATCTGCATTGATACTGCTTAGAGAAGAGAAAGATAAGGGGTACATGATATTTATGAAATTATAAAAAGCTTCACACAAAATCAATGGAGTTCGTGCATTTCTGGTTAGATTAGCACTTTATATTATACTGTATTTTGTACGTTGTAGCAAATCAAGAGAAGTGGTTGACCATTTAGACTAAGGTTAAAACAAACTCTGAGCCAGGGGTAAGCCTAACAACATATGGAAAAACAAAAGCCCTTAAGTTTTTTTTAACACAATTTAAAAAATGAAGCCATTTGGATAACAATATGCAGATTACTCAATGCCTACCGAGAAATTCGTAACTTCTTCTGCGTGCCATGATTGCCGATCGAATAAGGAACATGCAGGTTTTCTTTGTGACCAGTCCACTCAGCAGCACCAACAATATCCCCAACACCAAACCTGTCTGCAAGACAAAATATAAAATTAAAAATCAAACACACATACACTCATCATCTAAAATTCTTCCAACTAAAGACAAAAATGGCATGATGACAAAACCACACACCAGAAGACAAGGAGACGACAACATTTTGGTCCGTCCTGGACTATCAAGACAGATTGTGATGGGAGAGTGGCACGGGTATTAAGTAAGGTGAGGCGAGGAGCAGGTAAGAAGAGGTAATTCCTAGAGAAAGGTAAGAACAAGACAAAAGGTACTGAAGAAGAACAAGAACAGAAGAACTGAATAGAAGAACAAGAATAGAGGTACTGATAGGATGGGTGTAATAATGGGGTGCTAGATGGGTGTAAGAATGGGAACGTAGGAATGAGAGAGAAAATAAGAAATGACCAAATCTCGACCAAAATGGCCTTAGATCTGATGCTCATACCTTCCCAGGCCCCCAGTAGCCAAGACAGGTTCATATTACTGTATGGAATGTGAGAAATAAATCGGAAACAAAATAAGTTGGAAGTGGCAAATATTTTTAAGGACTTGCAAAGCAAATGAAAAAAAAATAAAAAAAAAGTAGAATAGAGTAAATAATCCACAGCACAAGTATAATATTAACAACTTTGAGAACCAAGAGGAAGAGCCAAGACATAGCCACCAGGTGTCATGGCATTTGAACTACTGTACCTCCGATTAATAAAGGGTGTGATAAGTACAGTACTGTTTATGCTCTGTAATCTGTAATTGTATACCAGAAATGCAAAAAATTAAGAAATTCAAATTTATTCAAATTTCTCCTTCAGTATACCCTTTTATCCTAAATTCCTTTTAGGATTAAAAGGTAAAAATAGAAAAAAAAACTAAAGTGAATTTATTCAGATTACTCGGGGATTTGGGTTAACAGAATCCAAATTACCGAATTCTTGCAGTACAGTACTACTGTATATTTGAAACCTCTTCTGACTGAGCTGAGACAGGTACTTCTGCCTTGTGCATTGAGATTGTGCAAGCTTATTTGTAAACTGGCAGATTGGATTAATACTGTTCCCATTTGTGGCCAAAAATGCTGTCATCGAATAATTCTAGATGGGCAGGTGCTGCTAAGCAATACACACTACTTCAGTCTATCCTGGCTAGATGACCCTGGCTCAAGTAACTCCCACCCAACATATATGACCATGCAAGGACACTGTAGTTTGTGGCGATGTGTTAACACATCACTACCCTCACTGTAGGTCGTGAGCCATTACGAGTACACAGGATATTCAAACTATGGAAATGGCAAAATGACACAAGTATCATGTACGAATCAATCTCTTATTATCCTGCACAGTATTAAGAGAAATAAATTGCTCTCTCTTATGTACACTAGAAAGAAAAATTGTGTAGTAACAATGAGAGAAACTAGAAATTCTGGCATTTATTTGGGAAAGGCACAAGAAAAACAAAGCATATAATTTTAGGTATACTGCACAATTATTCCACAAAATCAATATTTAAAGTAAAAATTAATATCCAAACCAACACACATGGAAGGAAAGTGACAACATTTCAATCCATCCTGGACCCTTATCACGTCATGTGGTCCAAGACGGACCAAAATGTTTCCACTTTCCTTTGAAATGGGTGGGTTGGGCAATTAATTTTCTGTCACATTGTGATTTATTTTCCTCATAAAAAGCACTGTAAACTCAAACAACAATAGCTGTCCAACCAGGAGCAGATACACAGAAAACACAAATACTGTATATATAAAAATCACAATGAAATCACAAAAATATGATATATCGACGAGAAAACATTGAAGCCGCATGATGAAATCAAACCCACATGTGCCTGGGAGTTTAGGAATGGAGGTTCGATCCCATCATCAGGTCTTAATATTTTCTGACAAAGAAGCTTCCTTACCTCCTTGAAACAATAAGGCATGGAGAGAATGGACACTCCGACTATGGAGTTGGCCATGTTCACGACATGTTTCACGTTCCCAGCCATCCTGATCAATCTCTCTCCTCCAACCCTAGGACATCATCTAGATCTGAAAAAATCTTCAAGTTTTACCAATAAAACTTAATTAACTTGTGCAGTCTCTCTGGATTGTTACAACCTTATAAAAATAGGACCCCCACTACAGCATTACAAATCCCCCTTCCTTCCCAAGAGCTTACTGTCAAGGTTAATATCTACCACAATCACCAGTCATGAGTTTAAATTAGTTTTCCATTTTATTTAATAGTTTCAATTTACATTAGGTGTATCGAATGCATCATAGTTTAAAAATTCCCAACACAAATATACCTCTTTTACTCAATACAAATTTTAAATACTTTAACAAACATTCATATTACTGTTGCAAAATTCAGTTGAAAAAAAGTGAAGTGAGGGGGTTCACATCACTTCACTGAAGAGAAGTGATGAAAAGTGAGTGAAGAAATTCACTCCCCCTTTGGGCAAGACTAACCTCGAGCAATACTGAACAAAATTAAATTCACCCCACCACTTAGTAGTGATAGGACCCAGTAAAACAACTCTCTCTGAAATCTTAAATAAAATATCAAGGCAGCACAAAGAAATCAAACCCATGACCCTGAACTCCTCGGGCGCACACACACACAACCAACGGAACCATGATGGGCTAACAAGCACCTCTTGCTTACCTCTGCATCATCATCATCCAGCTACAAGACACAATACAAAGTTAAACACCAATTTTCTCCTGGGAGCCCAAGGCAGAACACACACACACAGCTGATATAACTCTCTCACAACACACACACAGCTGATATAACAACTATCTCCCACACACACTAATGTTCTCCACTGAACATCTGCACCTGCGGTTGGTGGCTAGCACACATGTGCTAGCTCACACATGTGCCAGCATGGCACTCTAGGGCCAGCTCCATATCTTTGTTACCCTTTACTCCTCTAATAATTGCTATGACATTTTTTCAAGCCCATTTCCAAATTCATATACTCAGGGGCAACTGATTACAGTACTGTACTGCACTCTGTGATATTCCAGTAGATTCCCTCGTTAATACACTAGTTTATGCATTAGATACATATATATATGCACATACATTTCTAAGTGTACATGTATCCACACTAGTATAAGTAAACATACACATACATGAGCACATGGAGGATGAATACACTAAACAAAAACAACATTTATGCATGCAGGTCCACACACAAAAAATTAACATTATAATGGATACGACAACACCAATGGTACGTTTCAATTGATTTACTAGCAAGAGTACAGAACCTGCATGGATTTATCAACAGTCAAAATAGTAAATTATACTCTCAAGCCCACACGACCATGTACAGTACATACATGCCAAACTGTTCTCCACAAATCAAATATTATCTGGAGCAAAAGGATTCAAATTGAGAAGACCAGGTTTATCTGACGAAGAAGCAGCCCTTTCCGCATACTGTACAGTATATCAATACAGTACAGGTACTGTCTTATCAATGTACAGTGCTTCTGTGTGTTGTAATAATAATATCATTTAATGCTCGAATTTGGTTAGATTGATTATTATGAAGGACTCTGTTGGGATACGTGCTCACACTGGAGAGTCTATCAATCAGTAACACAAGTGTGCATACACCTGCACGTGTTGACCTGGTCTATGGTGCATACACTTTGGTCCTCTCCCTCCCTCCCTCACTGTCACTCTCCCTCCCTCCCTCCCTGTCACTCTCCCTCCCTCCCTCCCTGTCACTCTCCCTCCCTCCCTCCCTGTCACTGTCACTCTCCCTCCCTCCCTCACCCTCCCTCCCTCCCTCACTGTCACTCTCCCTCCCTCCCTCACTGTCACTCTCCCTCCCTCCCTCACTGTCACTCTCTCTCCCTCCCTCCCTCACTGTCACTCTCCCTCCCTCCCTCCCTCACTGTCACTCTCCCTCCCTCCCTCCCTCACTGTCACTCTCCCTCCCTCCCTCCCTCACTGTCACTCTCCCTCCCTCCCTCCCTCACTGTCACTCTCCCTCCCTCCCTCCCTCACTGTCACTCTCTCCCTCCCTCCCTCACTGTCACTCTCCCTCCCTCCCTCCCTCACTGTCACTCTCCCCCTCCCTCCCTCACCCTCACTCTCACTCTCCCTCCCTCCCTCACTGTCACTCTCTCCCTCCCTCCCTCACTGTCACTCTCCCTCCCTCCCTCCCTCACTGTCACTCTCCCTCCCTCCCTCACTGTCACTCCCTCCCTCACTCACCTCCCTCCCTCACTGTCACTCTCCCTCCCTCCCTCACTGTCACTCTCCCTCCCTCCCTCACTGTCCCTCTCCCTCCCTCCCTCACTCTCCCTCCCTCCCTCCCTCCCTCACTGTCACTCTCCCTCCCTCCCTCACTGTCACTCTCCCTCCCTCCCTCACTGTCACTCTCCCTCCCTCCCTCACTGTCACTCTCCCTCCCTCCCTCACTGTCACTCTCCCTCCCTCCCTCACTGTCACTCTCCCTCCCTCCCTCACTGTCACTCTCCCTCCCTCACTGTCACTCTCCCTCCCTCACTGTCACTCTCCTCCCTCACTCTCCCTCCCTCATTGTCACTCTCCCTCCCTCCCTCACTGTCACTCTCCCCCCTCCCTCACTGTCACTCTCCCTCCCTCCCTCCCTGTCACTCTCCCTCCCTCACTGTCACTCTCCCTCCCTCCCTCCCTGTCACTCTCCCTCCCTCCCTCCCTGTCACTCTCCCTACCTCCCTCCCTGTCACTCTCCCTACCTCCCTCCCTGTCACTCTCCCTACCTCCCTGTCACTCTCCCTCCCTCCCTGTCACTCTCCCTCCCTGTCACTCTCCCTCCCTCCCTCCCTGTCACTCTCCCTCCCTCCCTCCCTCCCTGTCACTCTCCCTCCCTCCCTCCCTCCCTCCCTCCCTCCCTCCTCTCCCTCCCTCCCTCCCTCCCTCCCCTCCCTCCCTCCCTGTCACTCTCCCTCCCTCCCTCCCTGTCACTCTCCCTCCCTCCCTCCCTGTCACTCTCCCTCCCTCCCTCCCTGTCACTCTCCCTCCCTCCCTCCCTGTCACTCTCCCTCCCTCCCTCCCTGTCACTCTCCCTCCCTCCCTCCCTGTCACTCTCCCTCCCTCCCTCCCTGTCACTCTCCCTCCCTCCCTCCACTGTCACTCTCCCTCCCTCCCTCCCTCCCTCCCTCCCTCCCTCCCTGTCACTCTCCCTCCCTCCCTCCCTGTCACTCTCCCTACCTCCCTGTCACTCCCTCCCTCCCTCACTGTCACTCTCTCCCTCCCTCCCTCCCTGTCACTCTCCCTCCCTCCCTCCCTCCCTGTCACTCTCCCTACCTCCCTGTCACTTTCCCTCCCTCCCTCCCTGTCACTCTCCCTACCTCCCTGTCACTCTCCCTCCCTCCCTGTCACTCTCCCTCCCTCCCTGTCACTCACTCACTCACCCCTCTTACTCCCCCTTCACTCACTCACTCACCACTCTTACTCCCCCCTCACTCACTTACTCACCCCTCTTACTCCCCCCTCACTCACTCACTCACCCCTCTTACTCCCCCCTCACTCACTCACCCCTCTTACTCCCCCCTCACTCACTCACCCCTCTTACTCCCCCCTCACTCACTCACTCCCCCCTCTTACTCCCCCCTCACTCACTCACCCCTCTTACTCCCCCCTCACTCACTCACCCCTCTTACTCCCCCCTCACTCACTCACCACTCTTACTCCCCCCTCACTCACTCACCCCTCTTACTCACTCACCCCTCTAACTCCCCCCTCACTCACCCCTCTTACTCCCCCCTCACTCACTCACCCCTCTTACTTACTCCCCCCCTCACTCACTCACTCACCCCTCTTACTCCCCCCTCACTCACCCCTCTTACTCCCCCCTCACTCACTCACTCACCCCTCTTACTCCCCCCTCACTCACTCACCCCTCTTACTCCTCCCCCCTCACCCCTCTTACTCCCCCCTCACTTACTCACTCCCCCCTCTTACTCCCCCCTCACTCACTCACCCCTCTTACTCCCCCCTCACTCACTCACTCACCCCTCTTACTCCCCCCTCACTCACTCACTCCTCTTACTCCCCCCCTCACTCACTCACCCCCTCTTACTCCCCCCATCACTTACTCATTCACCCCTCTTACTCCCCCTTCACTCACTCACTCACCCCTCTTACTCCCCCCTCACTCACTCACTCACCCCTCTTACTCCCCCTTCACTCACTCACCCCTCTTACTCCACCCTCACTCACTCACCCGTCTTACTCCCCCTCACTCACCCCTCTTACTCCCCCCTCACTCACTCACCCCTCTTACTCCCCCCCTCACTCACTCACCCCTCTTACTCCCCCCTCACTCACTCACCCCTCTTACTCCCCCACTCACTCACTCACTCACCCCTCTTACTCCCCCCCCTCACTCACTCACCCCTCTACTACTCCCCCCTCACTCACTCACCCCCCTTCTTACTCCCCCCTCACTCACACACCCCTCTTACTCCCCCCCCCCCTCACTCACTCACTCACCCCTCTTACTCCCCCCTCACTCACTCACTCACCCCTCTTACTCCCCCCTCACTCACTCACTCACCCCTCTTACTCCCCCCTCACTCACTCACTCACCCCTCTTACTCCCCCCTCACTCACTCACTCACCCCTCTTACTCCCCCCTCACTCACTCACTCACCCCTCTTACTCCCCCCTCACTCACTCACTCACCCCTCTTACTCCCCCCTCACTCACTCACTCACCCCTCTTACTCCCCCCCCTCACTCACTCACCCCTCTTACTCCCCCCTCACCCCTCTTACTCCCCCCTCACTTACTCACTCCCCCCTCACTCACTCACCCCTCTTACTCTCCCCCCTCACTCACTCACTCACCCCTCTTACTCCACCCTCACTCACTCACCCCTCTTACTCCCCCCTCACTCACTCACTCCTCTTACTCCCCCCTCACTCACTCACCCCTCTTACTCCCCCCATCACTTACTCATTCACCCCTCTTACTCCCCCTTCACTCACTCACCTCCCTCTTACTCCCCCCTCACTCACTCACTCCTCACCCCTCTT